AAAACGTCGACTGCTGACATTTTCCTTTTGACCAGTGTCTCTTGAGTTTAGTTGAGCTGTCTCCAAGGTAAGGTGCCGTGTCCTGTAGAACTCCTGAGTGGATTATGTTTCCCTTTCTGGGCCGAGGGCCCGCCGGAAAAGCAGGGTACCTTTGAAAAAATTTGATTCAGCAGTCTCATTGTTAGGCATATATCCTAAAGAAATAGGAGCTGTAAAACAAACATATATGCATGTTCAGGATCATTACTTCAAACTATTGGTTTCTCCCTGTCTGGAACAACAAAAAGGGAAGAAAATGAAATTGTACTGAAACAATTATTCCAAACAACTAATGGACCACAAAAAACCTTCAACTTTCATGATCTGGTGATCAGGAGAATTAGATGATATCTGGTACCACCACCTTTGATACTTCCATAAATCCACTAGGCTTTTATTCTTGATCTTCAAGGTGATGAACACTGGAGGTGTGATTTTCTCTTTTCCAGGAAGCTAAGGTACTCCACCATGAAATCTCCCTACCGGATTAGAACAGTTACACAGGGCACAGTTGAAACCGTGTGGCATTTTAAAATCTTTTCTAAATATGAGGAGTAAAGTGGAGAACTTGCCAGAGTACAGTAAAGGTTTTAAACTCTAAAATGATAGCAAATTGAAAATGGCAAAGAGGGAAGAAAGAAGCAAGGAACAAAAGAGGAAGAAAACAGGTTTTCTCATTCCCATACAGATTTCAGTTCCTGAGCTCATGCCCCTCCCAACCCTTCTTTCTAAAGAATAACTTCTCTCCCACCTTCTGAAGGAAACAATGCACTCTCAGTGATATTTAAATCCTATCATCAAATGAACAAAGCAGTCACTATATTCCAAGTCTTCATCACCATAGAAACCACAGAACACCCTTTCTCTTCCAATCCCCACAGGGTGAAGGGTGGTTTGTTCTCAACCAAGTGGTGGTGTTGTCATTCTAGTTACTATTACTATTCAGATATTAGATTAACTAATGAATAAATCTAGGGACCTTTTGCCACATCTCGACTTTCTGTATTTCAGTTAACCATCAATTTTGCAAAGGAAATGTAAAAACTGGGCCGGGCCCACATACCTTATCTTACACTTGGCAATGTGTTCTCACAGACTTTGCATTAATTCCTTGTCAACTTTAAAAGAGTATCAAAGACACTTCAACTCATTGCCTTTGGTTAGGGACCAAATGGACTTGCCACCGGTTTTTCAAGACAATAAAACCCACAGGAGATTGCCCATCTTTTTTCCACAGAGTCCACTATCAGAGAGGTGCAGCCTATAGGTGACCTAAGCAAATTCCTAAGAACTACTTCAACCGAGCTCTGTTAAAAGGGTATATGGCATAATGTCCTCCAGGACATTATGCTGAGTGAGGTATCTCAGTCACAAAGGGACAAATGCTATATGGTGCCACTGTTGTAGAATGAGGCTGGCATTGGGGTGGGGGTAA